ACATATTCCTAGATATCGAAATGGTTGTACCTGTTCGTTTCAGGAGGAAGTGTTAGTTTGTCTCCCGGTCTTATGGGCCTATGTTCAGCGCGGCCGCTCGGAAGCGACCTATAAAGCCCACGTTATTTTGACAGCAGAACCCATCATAAACACTCCATGAAGTAAGTAATGGTTAGAGTGCTGGTTCGCCTGCCACATCTGTGTGTGCGTAGACAACAAGCCTTGCTGTAGCATGGCAACACCCACATTTCTGTGCACACGTGCGCGCAAACGTGTTTCTCGATTAATGGCGCTAGCCGGAGGGAAGTTGGTGGGATTGATCATGTGCCTAGTGAGCGAATGTCCAGGCTGCTAGACCTACGGACGCACTCGTCTACTGGGTAGGCACCTCCCGGATGGCACACTAGGAAAAGGCAGCCTGTGCATTAGCGGACTGGGGTGAACGTACGCGTGCATACACGCACGTAGTTCCATTATTAAAATGCATATATCCGTCTCTGGATCCTCCTGAATGTGACAGGCCGAATCTAAGGCCCTACCTGGTACGGACTTGCGATTCCGCTCCGCGCCTGTGTGCAGTGGGGGTGGTCCACCGTCGAGGACGCCACAGATACAAAGTCAAATGCATTAACAGACGGTAGGTTAATCTGACGTCTGCCTATCGGTGTGTGCTGGATAGGGTCGCGTGTGATGACCGATGACGGTTCTGTAAGCATGATGCCTCACGTATCCGACGTCTGGTTTGTGCATGATAACCAGTCGACCGTGTGGTAAATAGCTTGACTTCTCGTTGCTGGATCCAACTGTACGTTGAATTGGTAGAAAAGTCCCTTAAGCTGATGAATCTACAGAGGATCCCAGTTAGGAAATTGAGCGCGACTCGGGGTGGTTCAAGTTAGTTACGAAAACCACTGATGATTACAATCAGGTCTAATGAAGCGAGTTAATCACTCATCGAATGCGGCGGTAGCGTGAGAACCCGTTCAACCAAGTGATTGTCATTTCCAACGGACGGTCAGAGGGGCATCGGGTCGGGCCCGGTGATAAATAGCCCTGCAACGCCGACCCTAGCAACCATTGATGCACACGTCCCAACTGACATCGGATCTGGTGTGGGCAGTTTAATCTCACTCTCCTGTTCCCCGGATTGTTTTCCATTGGTTCCCGCCCCATCATCTTCATACCAGGATATTTTGGTGAGACGTCCATCAGCCAAGTAGGAACCATTCGTTTCCTAGTGATGCATGTTGAAGGGATTTTACCAGTTAGCTGTCTAGCGCGCATACCAGTTACAGTAGAGCCCATTGAGCCTCATCTTGTCTTTCTTACTCCTAGTCGGATGCCAATCTTCTTTGGTAAAATAGACCATTCTGTAAGCGAGTTCATGCAAATGAAATGAGAAAGGGAAGTCAAAGGGACCAGGACATTTCAGCAGGCAATGTGGCCTGTTCGGCTGTTAGGGAGCTGGCTACTTAACCCTCAGTTTCATGAATTATGTTAGTTGCCTATTTCTTTGTTTGCGCAGTTACCTGCTTCTCTGTTACATTTTGGACACGCCGCTTTCCTCAGCCTCATTCGCAATCTCTCACAGCTAATTTCAGCCGTCTCATTCTGTGGACATTCTGATTGGTTTCTTTTGCTCAGCGTTCCTTAGCTTTTTCACGTGGATGTATTATTCAGCTGACACATATTTATTATATCTGTTTTTATTTTCCTGGTGTGTATCATTCTCACTATCAACTGTTCTGGCATTTGTTTAAACGCATCACTTCTCCACACTGATTGGACGCTACTCGTCGTTTTTAAGGGTCGCTCACCAGAAGATTACCCCCAGAGCTTAACTCCGCAGACACTATTTTCTTTGCCGCACTTCATTGGCTCGTAATTTTCGCGATTCTCATTTGCTTGTTCTATTTTGGGTTTTCTCCATGCCTGTTGGATCTCGTGCGTTTAGTAGCTTGGATTCACCCTTGTTGTAAAGCTATATAACTGGTGCCGTGCTGTAATAGAAAATCTGTTCATCCTGGCTCATCTTGGACTTCTTCTTGCGGTCGTGGGGTGAAGGCGTACTGGACGTCACAACATCTGCCCTGTACGTTCAACTACTACTGCTGCTGTCTTTTGCGCCTCAAGCTGCAAGTTTGAATGGGAAGTCAGCATTTATAGTCTAAAACCAAGCTACGTGGACCGAATGTACTGGAGCATGCTTTCAGTCGCGAGTGTATTCTTTCTATGACATGGTCCAAAAGGTCGCGCACATTTCCAACCTGTGCGTTCGAACATCAACACCCCCCTATGACGTTGGTCAACTTTAAAAGCTAGTTGTCCTGGACGAGAGCAGTGCGTGGTTTGTCTCGCTGCTCCGCTTATACAACACGCAGTTACTAGACCAGTAACGGTATCAAATGGGGCTCACCAGATCATGCTATGTTTACGTCATCAAGCACATGGTCGCAATTACAGGTGACTTCACAGAGGGAGGCGCTTCCGTTGCTCTTGTGTGTCAGAGGTGCTGACGAGCATACCGCGGGGCAGAAAACATAGTGTTTTCATGTGTCTGTTGGAGGTGAATGTATTCGCTACGTCCGCTTTAGACGTATATCTGCAGGTCAATGGAGCAGATAGTTACACGCGAAGCTACGCATAAGTGCACAGAGACTTGGCGGTGAACCAGTAGAACAACTCTATTCCTCTTGCACATTTTTAGTCGGCACCATCTAGAACATGGTTGCTGGCATCCGGTTCCGGATTTGCCTGTCACTGCGGCCTCCACAGAGATAGCCATAGGGCGCCTGGGCTTACTCAAGGATCATGGGTGGATTGTGCTGTACCACCCAAAGCTCTATCCACACACCCCATATCCAGTGCAAACCCGGAGAAATAAAACCGGGTGGCATGTGGATGGGAGCCACGTCTCATCAACGGAGTCAGCTCACATCCTTCAACCAACACAAACCCCCTGCTTAATAACCCGACCATTGCGCCGTGGCAGGCTAGTGAGTTTCTCTTACACAGCTTCACACAGTTATGCTGAGGGACACAAACGGTAAGACAGCGAGTCTGGTAGAGATGTATTGTTTGAGATTACGTGTAAGCCGCGGTGATGGGCTTCGCTGGTGTTTCTCTTTAGTCTATACCATATGTCATTCGTGGGAGTAACTAATGAAAGGCAGTATAAAACGCAATCGATTAACCAGGACATAAATGAATAGTTAGGTCCCAATCGGTGTAACTGGCTGGTCACAAGAAAACAGAAACTACGACAGGTCGATGTAGAAGATGCGGTTTGGAAGTTGTGGCAAGTCCCCAGGACGCACGTGACTGCCACTGGGGCACAACCGTAGGGGTTTTTCATAAGGTACAACTCATCGGATCCGATTCAGACCGGGCCAAGGAAGTGTGCACATCATCAAATTAGTCAAATTTCCCACACACATATAGCTTTGATTTCATTGGACATCTAGCACGCGGTGGATAGTGTTTATGCATAGCAAAGCAGACTCCTCAATGTCCCCATTCCTACTGATCTTGTCTATAACCTAATTACAGTGTCGTTGGGATGTTGCCTGTTCAGTTTGATGGCATTCTAAGTTTAGTATATCATGGTTAGAAAAGCTAACGCACCAAGGACATGCGCAGTGTCATCGCGACTACATAGCTCAATACAAGATGATGATGAAGCTGATTATTATAGTTTGGCAAGCTTGTCGAGGTTGTGTCACGATGTGAGGTTAACCGAGACATATAACCAAGATAAGTAGTGGAGTGAACTTATGCCTATGAAAACCCTGCTTCCATCCAGGTTCATGCGATGCCGCAGGTTGTTATGGGCCACTGTCAACTAGCTTTACTGTAAGAAGTAGTCCACTAGGGCACCCCTGTCGTCGGATCATTTATCCTGGTTGCCTAATCTAAGCGAGTATCTTACATACCCTCTCTCTCTCCCCTGACCTCACAGGACAGCAAAATGAGCTCAAATTGGAGCCCCTCATTGGTCGGACAGTAACCGTACCAAGTCACCATCTGGTCTAATTCCATGATGACAATCAGACCAAGGGACACATCTGGATGTGGTGCGGAAGCGCACTCCATCCATTCTCTCTCTTCGGAATGGGAGGACCCTACAAGGAGCGTACTTCGAAGGAGAGGAACTGGACTAGGAAATAAGCACCCAATGCCCCTACGTTTCAGCTACAGTCCTAGTGATCGAATTCAAGTTTCGCCTCTGCGAATCACGGCCCACATTGAGATTGCGCGTTGCCATCCCATCATACAACGAGTACCTTAAAATGACCCTCTAATCATACCTACTAGCAGTATGCTTACGCACACACACACACACACACACACACACACACGTATATTTGTTGCATAAGCCATGGTAGGCAGACTCCTGTGCACAAAACCGAGAGCTGGCAGGTTGGTTGCACAGTTACTGCTGACTGGCGAAGGACCATTCCTCATTTCGCTGTGATTTGAAACGCCCAGTGAGCCAGCGCCAGTAAGTTGTCACCTGGTCCTTGCTAAGCATGCACACGTGGTCACTCATATCAACGCATATTTGCAGGTTCAGGACCGCAAATGCCTTGTTGTCCAAGACCGACGAATACCGTGCGCAACCCTTTAATGATAAAGCGCCCATATGTGTGCATGCAGGTTATTTTGATTTGGCATGTGCTTTATCGCAAATATGAAGATGTATTCTCCATTTACCTTATCGGCCATGTGCTAAAACATAGGATCACGAGAGCAGAAGGTGAACCGGGGACCCGGCCCCAGTTCGTCACCGTAAGTATTTACCCACCCATCAACGTGTACAGGGATCAGCTAACTTCCGCACACCTTATGGGACATCGGTCCAACCATATCGCGATATCGCACACGCGTTCCACGGGTTGCTGGACCAATGGGAGTACATGCATGTTGATATGTATCTGTGCATGTGGCAGCCACCCACGCGGCACATAACATGTACCAAGTCGGATGGCACACGGGGATGCACGGATTGGACCACACTATGACCGGAGGTGCTGGGATCGTTATCAGCAAGCACAATCACACACGTTGAAGCAAACGCAGCCACCTCAGGTGTTGCCGGCCGATGCAGTCATCCGCAGCGCCAAATCATACTTCGGAATACGTTCATCGTAAACGATCGTGGACTGATAGGGAAGCGATCTGTCGACCAAACGCACATGACGCTGGGTTGCACTTGACTGAATCGACATTACTTAACACTATGAATACTATGGATGTTCCTTTTCCTCCATTAAAGCGAGTGGCGAATGAGCGTGAAAGAACTCGAACCGCCAGTGTGAATGATGCGTTCCTAATGCTTCGAAGTTTAATTCCCACGGAACCGATGAATCGGAAGTTGTCCAAAATCGAAACTTTGCGATTAGCCTCGTCGTACATCTCTCATCTCCACGCTGTCCTGGTGACCGGCACCGATCCAGCAGAGCAGCCGTGTCTAAGACATCAACAACTGCCTCCATCCGGATGTGCGTTCGGCCGCTGTCCAATCGGAACCCCTGACAGACGAACATCAGGAGGAAAAGAACAGCAGCAGCAGCGTCCGGTGTGCACCTTCTGTGTCACGGAAATGAAACAACAGCAGAAACAGCAGCAGCAGCAACAACAGCAACAGCGAACCATGTCCGAGTTGCACAGAGAAACTACCTTTTCATGAGTTGCAACAGTTAATGGACACCCAAAAGGAAAGTTACCGTTTGAACGCCTGCATTGTATATGAGGGTCCGTTTGCCACTTCTTTCTGCAATTGTACAATTGACACGTTTTTCTATCCTAGTCAACGAGCAATACTAGTTAGGGGCACATTCAGGTTACATTGAGATTCGGCGTCCCAACTGGTGAACTGGACACTGTATCATCCTCGTTGACTAGAGCCGAGATTTGTGCCCAAACTCCGCATCGTTCTCACTATAGAACTTAGTGAATGCAATAAATTCTTGCTACCTTGATCGTATATTTCTTTATTTAGTATCGATTACTTCCCTCAAACCATGAAAAGCGGACAGTATCAGCGCATTCGCAATGGCCTGTGAAGCTCGATGCATTGATTAAGATCTGATATAGTTACTGCCAATTTCCAGAGTCCATGGTAATAAGAACAGATGGCTGTTTCGTACAATCCGTTGACAGATCCTTGTCAGTGATTGGTGTGTGCGGGTGAACCTGGTATCAGCAATGAAAGGCATTATAGATCTGGTCAGTAAACTGAATTCCCTACACTGCTAATTTATGTCCGAGCACTGGCGTACCTAACTTCGGCTTGGTGTGTTCATCAACTTGGGTGCTCACACTCGAAAATGGTCTTAGCTCATTTTCTTGTTGTTCTCTTGTCCTTGATTCCAACATGTCATGTGCTTCATTAGTCTGTGCGTGGATCCGACCTGCATGTTCCGTTAAATTAAAGAAAACAAGCTAACCCAAACAGACCATTTGTGGTTTGTGGTCCACTGGCAAATTTGAGCCTAGAGCAGACGCGAACCGAAAAAGACTCGAGCTACCTTCGCATGACTACTTGGTCATGGTAACCAAAGTTTGGTTTTCCGGATGAAAGGTTCATTCGAGAGTCCCGATTTGGTGGTGAATGGCCACTGCAGTAGAAATGTGTTGTGTGTGTGTGTGATGGGGGTTTCATGAGGCGGATTAACATCAAGTGGAGCTGTGTGACCGAGCCCGCCTGGTAACAAACGTCATACTACTCACAGTCTGTGTGT